TTTCAACACCTTTCAAGAGGTCTCGTGCAGCAGATTTGCCTAGTGCAACACATCTTTTGATCTCTTGACTGCTGCCGCCATGATTATGGATTCAACCACAATGAAATCCCTGACAACGTCAATCTTGCTCCTGTTTATCATGCTGCTTCCTATTGGACCAGTTGGATTTTACATTGAGTTGCGATCCATACCTTGATTGCAAGGTTGCGATCCTTGATCTTCATCAGCAAGTGCTTCAAGTCCTCCTCACTTTCAGCAGACAAGTCAGAGGACAGGATTACATTTAGAGGCGACAGTTAGACGTTTGTTTCTGTATATGTGTGGTGAATTGGCACATGCTGGAGTTAAACCTACACGTACTCGTACATAGAGGTAGAAATGGGATGGACTTGATGGAGTCATTCCATTCCCGTCATCTATGTTTGCCTGTTCCTCAGTGGTCACCCCATCAATGCCCCTTCTCCCTCCTTCACTGTCCATCAGCAACAATGCCTCAGCCCCCCAGGATTGCAAGCATCACGCTTGATGCTAAGACTGCTGTGGGAGGTGCCACCCTGGCCTCTGATCCACTGACAGCCTCACAGGGAGACAGCCAAATGCGTTCTGCCAGAGTGCGGTCAGAATGCCAAGGGGAGGACGTTGAGTTCTGCATGAAACAGGGTCAGAGGAAAGCCGAGTGGAAGAGCTAGGCCCAGGAGGCCAATTTGCTGCTGTGATGTGCTGGGGAGTCAGTTTTGACTCGTTGTCACCCCAGGCAGGATAGGGTGGAACTGCCCTATGGGGAGTTCTAGGCCATCATCTCTGTGGGAGAAGATAGCCAGATCTTCCCTGGAGCCGTTGGGTGGGTGTGAGCCACCGATCTTTCCATGAACATGCGCAGTATTTAACCGTTTGCACCACCGGGAGGAGAAAATGATACTGACTCATCAGAGCTGGTAGACCGGAGTGAACATAGTGCTTCTTTGCGTGATGTATTGGAGGCGCCATGTATATCTCCGCGCCTTTCTGGGATAGAGGCAGGTGGAAACCCAGACCCACTGCCATCAAGCCCCTTCTGAGGGCTGACTAACTCCTTAGCTGGCACACATTGCATCTCATGATCTGGTTTCTGCATCAGTTTCCTGCCTCTCTTCCCCCAGTCTCTCATGGTCCTCCCGTCCACCGCCCTGCCTGGCTGTGCCTCCTAGCCTCTCCCCGTTCTCTGAGCCTGTGGCCAAGTGGTGATGGGTCCTTGCCTGCTCTGTCCTTTCCCGAGGTTCCCGGGGGAGGTGACCTGTGGGCATTTGGGAATATGCGAGCCGTGGGGACTGGCAGGGTGGATGTATCAAGAGAGAGATCCACGTTGAGAGCCTCTTGGGACTGTTTTCAGAAAGTAGGTATATTTGCTCAAAGATGGAGAGTTTGGTCCAATTTTAACAGTGGGAATGACAGAGACTCGTCCCTTTTCGCTTGGGCTTCCTGTGGCCTCAGCTCCTGCCTCGAACCACACAGTTACAGTGCTTTATCTGCCCTCAGCCTTCCCACTGGGGTTGCTGGGTCACTGCAGGCACGTTTCTCCAACAACGCGTCAGGACTCCTTCAGCAGGAAGAAGGAAAACTCAGAGAAAGCGATGCTGTCACAATTGAATATACATGTCACAATTTAAATGCCTGTCTGCACATGTGGACATGTGTGTGCATGCGCCGGACCCACCCATAGCTGCTAGAGGGATCTGCCATGTGAATTTCACTTTTAGGCAGTTCTGTTTCTTCCATCTTGGTGCTCAGTTAAACAATGGAGCCGTTGCCTAAAAATATCTCCGGCCGGCCGGGTGTGTTTGCAGGGAGCCTGTGAAGGCAACGCCGCGCGCGCGAGGCACCCTTCCTTTGGCTTGCGGCTGCAGGATGACGAGGCCTGTACACGTCCTCTTTGTTAATTCGCCCCATCTGTTTAACAAGACTGAGAAATACAGGTCCCCCTCCTTTGTGTGGACGGGTACGGCTCCTTATGAAGTAGTGAGCCCGGCAGCCCCAGGCGGGCGCTCTGTTTTCTTTTTAATGCCAGTGCACGAGTGCCCGGAGTGGAGTGGAGGCTCGGCCTCTCGGGCCACTGTGAAAATGGCACACCGTGTCATCGAGGTTGTGGTGTGTGCCCAGAAGCCCCTGTCCCCCAGGGGCGAGGGGTGTCATTCCCACTTCCTCGCTACTTTAGAAAAGGGTCATGGCTGTGCTCTGGCTTGCTCGAGGGCAGATGAGGGCCTCCTTCCCCTGCAGGGGGAGAAGTCCTAGTTGGGAAGTAGAAATCAGGAGGACAGTGCGCTGGCAAGTGCCCAAGAGCAGAGGGCAAGCTCCGCTTGTTGAAAGCCCCGAGCAGGACTCAGCCCACCTTCCTGCCAGTACAGGGAGGCCGGTGAAAAGTTTTAGGCACAGAGCTGCAGCTCCGCTCTGTCTCAGCCCTCAGGGAGGCACCTAGAGGCCGGGGCCATCGCTTTGGTTAGGACAGGACACTGTGTCTCAGGAGGAAGGAGGTGGGCGGACGAGCTATGGGGACGTGATGATCGGCGCGTCCCTCTCCTGGAAGTCCATGCGGTGTGTCCTTGGCCTGTCTGCAGTGGGTTCATGATTCCCACACCCATCTGCCCAGGACATTGTATGAGTTTCTAATTCTCTTCCCCGTGGTCATTTTTTTTTTCTTTACTTCATTCTGAGTCATCTTTGATTAAACAAAACAAAGATATCTCTGTTAATTACTCATCCTTTCAAGCAGCACACATGCTCTTTTATGCGTGTGGCTTGTGGATTCTCTTTTGTGTCCTGGTTTGCATGGGGATAGTAATTTATGATGGACGTGTTTGGAACCATGGCCTTGGAGGGAAAATGCTAAAAAAAAAAATCATACTGAAAAAGCCTCAGAGCCTTCCTCTAGGAGGGGAAAACCTGCTTCTCCGCGGCTCCACCACCAGATCGCTCAGCTCACACCGTGCGCTGTCTGCCTGTCACGTTGTCGTCGCCGTGATTTCTTTCAACCGTTTTCATTGTGCTCTGTAGACCCTTAGAAAGCGGCAGCTTTGTGCGAACAGCGGAAATTGAAAATGATAAACGAGGTGCCATAAAGTTGTTACGTTGCAGGCAGAGTGGACGAGCAAACGGAAACTATGGCTTGGTGTGTCTGTGTTTTAGAGACGAAAGGGAACCGGCCCGGGCACTGGGAATCGGCACTTTGCTTTGCCTCAGGGCCTTGGCACCAGGGTCTGAGATGATCCTGGACTAGGCTTCCTGGCACAAGCTGGTGCAGGCTGGGGGGCTGGCAAGCTTCCCAGAGAGGAGAACCCCAGCTGATGGGAAAGAGGGGTGATCTCAAGCAGGCTGTATTGACCACCAGAGAGGAAGTGGAGTATGTGGGCTGGGGACTGTGGGGAGTCTAAAGGCAGGGGGTAAGTTGAATACAACCCTGGATGGCTCATGCGTCTCAAGCATGGGTGACTATAGACTCTACGAAGAAAAGGTGTGTGTGTGTGTGTGTGTGTGTGTGTGTGTGTGTGTGTGTGTGACATGCGCACACCCCAGACGTGTTTTCTTTCCTGTCTCTGGGGGGTAAAGCCTCATGTGGCTTCCTTTGATGGTGTGGGGCCCGATGTTTTCCGTGTCGGGCAGGTGCTTGTGGCAACAGTGACTTGGTGACAATCGTATGAATGAGAAACATTTTTGTGGGTGAGTCGATGGCAGCAAATGGAAATTCTCTGGAGGCCTTTCTGGGTGGTTGACAGAGAGGACATCGGGTCTCTTTCCATGCCTCATGAGTCTTCCTTCCTTCTGTTTCTTCTACAGTTCTCTGAAGAAGCAGGATGCTGATCTAGACGTGGAAAAAGTAAGTTGATCGGTTTTGCTCTAAGGGCCCGTGTTTGTGAGCATGGCAGGCTTTCCCATTGCCACCCAGGACACGGTTCACCGTCCACTGTGGGTGCTGACTCCGAGGCTGAGTGGGAGATGGAGCTGACAGATGAGCTAGATCTTCCCTGACTTCCACAAACCTGGCATTTCCCCTTCCGCTGGGCTGCAACACTCAATTTTCGGTGGGTCTGGGAACACAGGGTTAGTTAGTTATACGGCTCTCCCCACCTCATTTGATATGCTGTAGAATGTGCAATCTACCCCAGTAGTTTTTGGAAGGGTGGGTCGGAATTGATTCAAAGGCAGCGGGTTTGGCTTTTGGTTTTTTAGGGTGTGTCTATTATAAACCAACAGTTGCCTTTTTTTATATTTAAATGCGGCTTTGGTGTAGTGTCACTTTTACATTTTCTTTCAAAAATAGCTCAACTGTGGGTAGGGCCCACCCCTTGCCCCCTCTCATTTTAACCCCAGGGTGAATCTCTGAAGTAGCACTGGGAGAAGAAAGCTGGCAAAAATTTGACACGAACTTGCTTTGGGAAAGAGATTTCGTTTTCCATGAATAGAATCGCACAGCTGTCTTGGTGGCTGGTGAGGCTCTGGGGCTGGTGAGGGTGGGCGGTGCCCCGCGTTCCAACCACTAAGGCAGGTCCCCGTTAGCCCGCGCACGGCTGGGCTTTGTCCCCCCTCAGCCTGTTCCTCGGGACCTCTGTCCGAGGCCCACCTCTGAGCTCTAAGGACCTGTTCCTGCCTCACAGGCCCTTCCTTCATTCACTGAGCATTTATATGGTGCCCACTGGGTGTCCAGAACCACGCTGGGCTCCGTGGAGACAAAGGTCATTATAATACACTGTGATAAGAAGGCTTCGGAATCGCAGTCCGAGGCCTGGACTGTGGGTAACTCCGTGGTGGGGGGCGGGGGTGCATTAAGGGAGCCAGTATTTTATTTCTTCTTTCTGAACCTTCTCTGTCTGAACTTCGTTCTCCTCTGCCTGCGCTTCTCTCTGGTCTGAAGGCTGCACATGCAGAGAGAGGCTCCGTAGCAGTCTGGGGATGTTCTTCTGCCCCAGGCTGCTCTGCCAATCACATGGCCTTGAATACAGTGCTTCAGTTCTTCAAGTGATGCTGTGTTCACAGTCTTGTTGGCCAAGGACTCGGTTATTTTAAATTTCCAATGAGTGTACAAAAGGGCTCTTCCCTCTGAATTTGAGTCATTCTGTAGGCAGCCCTTATATCTGGTTGCCGTCGAAGGCATGCGTGTCCTGTCTGAAACATTGTTCTCCAGCAACTGTGAGCCCCCACTGCAGTCCTCCAACTTCTGCATAGTCGTCTGTGATCCCCTCTCCCTCCTGGTCTTTTCAGCTCATACAAACCAAAGGTGTTGGGGAATAGCAAGACTCTACTCTCAGGATCCCTGGGGGCATAGCGGGTTACATATTGGGCTGCTAGCTCCAAAGTCGGCAGTTCAAAACCCCTAGCCACTCTAAGGGAGAAAGATGAGTCTTTCTACTGCCATAAAGACTCATAATCTCAACCACCCGTGGGGCAGCTCTACACTGCCCTAGAGGGTCCCTAGGAGTCAGAATCGATTCGGTGGCAGTAGTGCTGTTTTGTTTTGGAGTCTAAGGCAGAGCTGAGGAAAGCATGTTAGAATTTCCATATGCTTATGTTTGGGCCTGGAAACCCAGGCCTGATAAAGGCCCGCTCTGTGGGAGGTCAGTACTGAGGTCTTCCTGGGTTAGACCCCATTCTCAGCAAGCTGGAGCCCGTGGGAGCCGGGAGCCCTGAAGGGAGATGTCGCTTGGAACACAGCAGCCGCCTTGCAGGACATGGATGCTGGTGCTGCTCTGGGCTGTAGGGCTTCCCTGCCGCTCCCAGTTCTGGCAGAGGTGAACCCTACAACTGCAAGAGGGGAGGTCTGATGGGGAAGAGGAGTCCATTTGGCAGGGTCCCCAGTGTCATCCCAATGCCAGACAAACAGTAACCTGCCAACAGACCAAACCCGCCACCTGTTGAGTCCGTTTCGCCCCTTGGTGGCTCCATCCGATAGCCCCGTCTCTCGAACGGGCCTGCAAAGATGAGCAGCCAAGCGCCCAGCCGCTGGGCCACCCGGCTCCTAGGAAAGCAGTGCAAAACCCACTGCCATGGAGCCGATTCTGACTCATAGCGAGCGGCCTGTACGTCTTCTCAGGAGCAGAGGACCTGGCAGCTCTCTGGCACACTGGGCTAGTGGGTTTCGAACCCTTGCCTTTAGCTGTTGTCTATCCAGCGCTTAAACCACAGTGCCACCAGGGCTCCTCGGGTAAGCCGCAACTCCAAAACCCAACGTGCTGAATTCAAGTCGATTTCCGTAGATGGGGTCCTGAGAGGAGTGGCTCAGAGTCTTGCTTCACCTGTGCTGTTCTCGCGTCGCACAGCCTTACCCAGATCCTGTCACCCCAAGACCCTCGTTTCCGTCATCAGAAAGAGGGTTTGCACTTCGGTTGTTTAAGAGATCAGGTGAGCATTGCGTACTAATGCATTCTGTGAATTCCAACCCATTAGAAAACAGTTCCCATAAGATAGTTCCCAATCACAAGGACTTGCCCCTTTTATTAAGAGTAGTTCTGGGTTACAAAGCAGTACCAGCATTCCAATTTAATTGTACCATTCTTTTTCAAATTTTATTATAAATTAGGTGGGGGTTTACATTTTGGATCATCACCTTTCTATCCCACAGTTTAAACTACGCATATGCCCCTCCCCACCCTTCAATAATTTACCCTTCACCCGATCCTTGGTTTCTCTTCTCCCTCTCATGGACCACTGTCTTCTGCTTCACCCAATTTAACATCACCAGTCTAGCTGGTTGCTTTCTCTTCCCCCTAAACTTCTCTAAAGTTTCTTCTGATTCATATGGGAATCTATCTTGTGTGTGTGTGTGTGTGTGTGTGTGTGTACACAGGGGTAACCAAAAAAAAAAAACAACGGAATTTTTCCCCCAGAGCTATGTATTTAAATTTTTTCTACAAAACAGTCTTATCACCTTCAAAGGACTCTCCATTATGCTTAATACATTTGTCAAATCTGCAATTCTATTCTTAGAAACATTTTTCAAACTCATCTGTTCGGATGGTTGATGGTGCCTCCTTTTTTTCCTTCACCTCCTCTCTGTCATCCAACCACTGTCCTTCCATGTCCCTTTGCATTCATGAAAACACAAAGAAGTCGCACACGGTGTGCGTGGGACAAGAGAGGCTTGCTGTTTTTAGCCAAAAACTGGCATGCAGAGATGGCTGCGTGAGCAGGTGCATGGTCTGGTGGCAAAACCAGTCCCCCATCTGCCACAGAGCAGGCCCATTTTGTTGCACACTGTTTCGCAATCTTTCCAGCACCTCGAAATAGGAAGCTTGATTAACAGTCTGACCTGGTGGAATGAGCTCCAAATGCCCTGCAAGTTGACATTTTCGTCCCTGCAGGAAGTTGACGGGCGTCCAGAATGAGGTTTGTCATCAGTCAACATTTCACTTCTTTTGAAACAAGAAAACCACTCATACACTTGAGTTTTTCCCATAGCGCTGTCCTTGTACTGTGTTCAACATCAAAACAGCTTCTGTAGCATTTTCCCCTCCAAGCAGGAAACAAAATTTCACAGTTGCACGCTGTTTTCTTAAATTGACCATCACAAAAAAGGAGGCTCGAGTGAAACGGCTTTTACAAAAAAATTCCCTGTGATCAAAGGACCTTCCCAGACAGTGCCACAAGGTGCACTGCCGCAATGAGTTGCCTGATGCTAGCCTGGTGGGAAATGTGCACTATGAAAGCTCTGCGCAACAGATCTCTTTTCTGTCTTTTTTGGGTACCTGATGTTCCCCAGGTCCCACATGGCATGAGGTGCTTCGTGGTTTTGTCATCTTTTCCAGCGATTCACAGTCTCCATTGTTTCCTTATCCATTCTTCTACTCGTGGGCATTTAGGTTATTTCCATCTTCCTGCTGTTAGGAGCAGCGATGCACTGAACAAGGGTGTGACTGTTGCCATTCTGGGAAAAGGGAAACTTGCTGGTCATGTAGCATCACGTCAACTCTGACTCCTAGTGACCTTGTGGAATGGAGAACTGCTCCACCAGCCTTCTCGACTCTTCTCTCCATGGGGACAGACTGCCAGGTCTTTTCTCCCACGGAATAACTGCTACATTTCAGCCACTTATGTTTGAGTAGCAGCCAAGAACTTAACCACTGAACTCCCTTAGGAACCTCCCCTTTTCAGGACTGTGTTAGTCTGGGTACACAGGGAAACAAATTCATAGACACTCATATGTATCTAAGAAAGGGGTTTATGTACAAGAGCAATTGAATATTGAGAAAATGTGTCAGCCCAGTCCAGATCAAGTCCCTAAGTCCAATATTAACCCATAGGTCTGATACCAATCTATAAAGTCCTCTTCAGACTCACAAAGTACATGCAATGATGCCTAATGCAGGAGGATCACAGGCCAATGGGTTAGAAATCTTGTGGATCCAGTGGCGTTATAAGCATCAGTGCTGGCAGGGGTCTGTCCGTGGCTTCTCTGGCTCCAGAGATCTGGTTGCATCAGGGTAGGTCCATGTGGCTTCTCTAGCTCCAAGGGCTTAGCGCCATGTGTCTTGTCAGTAGAGCATCTCTCAGGGAATGAGCAGAGAGAGTTTCCAAGGGAGTGAGGAGAGAGACAAGTATCTGCTACCTCCAAGGAGGAAATTTAGGAATTCCCAGAATTCTCAGGAGAAGGCCATGCCCACACAGAGACCTCATTGATTATGACCCTATTGACAGACTAGGCTCCACCCCTTCACTCTTAATCCTCTCAGATCCCCAATTGACACCAGATTATGTAACTACCACAAGGACCAAGTAAAATTATTCATTTAAAAAATTTTAAAGCACAAACCACACACATTTTTGTTTTCTGACTTGTGCCCAAACATGGAGGTGGGAGGGAAGGTAAGGGTGTGGAGGAGGCTC